TGCGATATATTTCAAAATCTTCAAGACTTACATAACTGTTGCATTAGAATTTTCATTCTCATTGTAAACTCTTTCTAACTGCAAAACATTTGTTTGATATCAAGGAAGCTCACATAAGCACCAGTGATGAGTTTATTCTTTTAAGGCCTGAAACTATGTTGAGTAATTGACGGATCACGTCAAGAAAAATCATATCCATGGGCATTTCACCTAAAGACCGTAAACACGAACATGTTGCTTCTCCCAGTTAATGCTTTTCCCAACTTGTTTGCTCGTTTGGGGCAAAAATTCGAAGACTTTGTTGTGCCGACTACAGTCAATCCGGGGCAATCACGTAAAGATTTGATGAATCTCTCTAAGAGTTTGAAGACACCAGAGCATGGTGAATGCCAGGTCTTTTGTAAAATCCTCTTGAGACGATTTCTCCTCATCAACCATATAGCTCGGGGCATTTTAGAGGTAAAGTTATTCGCAAGAATTGTCGTGCATCACGCAGCTTATCAGGCGTAAACTTGGGGCATCCCAAATTAATCCCAGGGGCAATCCAGATTTGTCAAGATATGTTTTTCATACATTATCAGAGGGTGGTGTTCCCAGTATCTCCAGCTAAGCAAGACTTCTTTCCAGCTGAAACTTTGTTTGTGTTGTTATCCTTTCAATGGATTGTTTGCAATAGAAGACTGGACTTTGGGTTTTCTACCTGAAAATATCTTCCCCTCCAGAGATATTTAAGCCTTGTAAAAGGACCTTGCTCCAATGATGGCCTGTGTTTTATCTCCAGTAATGTTCCCATCCTGTTGAGATTAGCCGAGTGTTGGGTTGTGCTATGATGTCTTATCATCTCCAGTTTATCTTGTCTATTTGTTTTGTCAGCACATACATGGCATTCATTTATTCATTCACACTTGCATCATGCACGCACAGTTGTATTTGTTGATGTCATTGAGTTCGTATACCTTGGTTGGGTCTATTCAAATAATGTATTTGATCTTTCCAAGTAGAGTGCCAACTTAAGCAGAAATGTGCCTTCTTTCTAATTCCCCACTGAGTTAACTCTCGTGGAAGAATCTTGCTTTAGCTTTACTTTTCCATCTCTGGATAGGATAAATCCCCATTTGAGTTGTTTCCTCATTGGGTGGAGTCCTGTTTGACTGTTTTTCTCTCCAGTTTATTCCTGGATTGAGCTTTGTCTCTTGTGAACGATACCCTGTGGATCCCTCTAGGTTGTGAAACCTAGATGGAGAGTGCATTTATTTTTCAACGTAAATACTTGGTCTCCTCAAGAAGGATTTATTCATGGTTCCCCATTGAAGATGAACTTTATTCCCCAGTAGTGTTATCACAACCTTCTTCTGGAATATCGACATGACAACAAGCGACTGACTCTTTATTTGAGCAGTTTGATTATTTCTGATTTCTCTACGACAAATGGCGGTCTCCTCATGAGCAGTTTGTCTATCCTCGATGAAATCATTGATTCTCACCTCCAGCAATATCTTCATGATATTTTATGGGTATCTTTGAGAAAACAACAAGCGGCGGTCTCTTCATGAGCAACTTGTATTGTTATTGCTACATTTGAAAAAACAACAAGCGGCGGTCTCTTCATGAGCAACTTGTATGTTATTATCACCTTTGAAAACAACAAGCGGCAGTCTCTTCATGAGCAACTTGTGTGTTATTGTTCTCTTGAAAAACAGCAAGTGGCAGTCCTTTCATGGGTAGCTTGTATGTTATCTTTTTCTTTTGAAAACGGCAAGTGGCGGTCTCTTCATGAGCAGCTTGTACAAAAAACGGCAAGTGGCAGCTTCTTCATGAGCAGCTTGTACGTTAGTATTTTGGAAGACAGCAAGTGGCAGCTTATCTATTTGAGCAACTTGTGTGTTATTGTTCCCTTGAAAACGGCAAGTGGCAGCTTCTTTATGAGCAGCTTGTGGGTTTTTGGCAACAAGTGGCGGACTCTTCATGAGCAGCTTGTGTGCTTTAATATCCCTTGAAAACGGCAAGTGGCAGCTTCTTTATGAGCAGCTTGTGGGTTTTTGGCAATAAGTGGCGGACTCTTCATGAGCAGCTTGTGTGCTTTAATATTTTTTGAAGACAGCAAGTGGCATCTTCTTTATTTAAGCAGCTTGTATGTCATAGCATTTTTTGAAGACAGCAAGCGGCAGCTCCTTTATTTGAGCAGCTTGTGTATCCCCAACAATAATGTCTACTCAGCAAATGGCACCCCTTCGGAAAAGTCCCGTGGGGAAGTTTTTATTTTATCCTTTGCAAGCAATATCTTGGTTAAAGAAGAAATGTGTTACCGTTCTTGGTAAAATTCAGAAATCAAAGATGTTTATCTCCAGCCACAGTGCTGATGTCAATCATTTTATTCTCCAGCCACAGTGCTGATGTCAATAATTTTGTTTTCCAGCCACAGTGCTGATGAAAATCATTTTCTTTTTCCAGTCTTCGTACTGATGTAAATCATTTCTTTCCCAGTCTCAACACTCATGTAAATCATTCAAGAGTCTCTCATTTGAAGTCTATGACTTTGTTTCCCCCAGTGGAGTTACAACCCCTTCCTATGTGGGATTACTGTATAATGTGCTTGGTTTCTCCAGCATAGTCCGTCTCATATGGCGTCATTCCCCATAAAATTCAGAGCATTACATTCATATCATATCATGAACATAATCGCGGTATCTTAAGGCCAAAAATTGTGTATTCTATATTTAAGTCCCTTCAATCTCGTCGAAATGAAGATCCCAATCTTCATATCTCCAGATAGAAGAAACTTAAATAGGGGCAGCTGTTGTACCCCAATTTTTGACCTAAGATCCCATCTTCATTTGCATTTTTATTCAAAGAAATTAAGGGCACGAAATATGGCCAGTTTTAACCTCTCAAACTTCTCCACAACTTCCTCAGAGCACATACAAGATTCCATCATCACTGGTTCACATGTGCTTCAATGTGTCTTGGAATGCAAGAAAAGATCAGGCTATGTGAGATGATTTAAAGCACTTCGACCAAAATTCAACTTTTTGCAAGATCAAGTTCAAACGATCATAACTTCTTCATTATTCCATATTTTTGAGTGGTTCTTTTTGCGTATGACTCTCCTTGATGTCATCTCCCACTCCTCTTTACAAGTCAAGAGTTAATTGTATGTGGAGGATCATCTAAAATTCGAATACTTTGGAGGTCTTTTTGCAAATTTAACCTAATCACAAGAAACTCTTGTCCAGATTTCGAGGTTCATAACTTCTTCAATTCTCAACGTCCCGAGGCAATTCTTTTTGTGAAGTGTCACAAATAGCATTGTCTATGAGATTACTTCAAAGGTCGAGGTCAATTTGTGCTTGGTTCAATTTATGCCACAAACGTTTTCTCAAAGGACGTTTGATTCTTATGTTAAGATAATTCATCAAATAAGTTGTTGAGTTTGAAGATTCATTGATCATCTATTGCTCGTAATTCAAGTCACTTGTGTTTGAGCGTTAATGATTAATGGAGCGAAGTTGGATTTTGATTAAATTTCTTAAGGCATTTGTTTGTTCATTAAGATTCGATTCATTAAAGTTTTAACATTTACCTTTCTTTCAATTCATACAAATTCCTTTTGATTTAAGGTCATTATGCCAAGATTCAAACATTCATTATTTTAAGTTGCACACCATTCAACTTTCAAGACAATGTTCAAAATTCAAATGTCAAGTTCAAATGCCATTCAAAGTTGCAAATGTTTTTCAAGAGAGGTTCGAATACAAGGGACAAAAGTTCCATCCAATTTATAATGCTTACAATTTGGAATTATGGAAATTTTGAATTCAAATATAACAAGTTACAAAGTCTAAACCATGTTTCACCAAAAGTTGTCATTTCACTCAAACACTCAATGTCATAATAAAAGTTACAAATTCAATCATCAAATGATCAAATACATCAATTCAAAACTACCAAGTCCTATTTATAAATGACATCAAGCTCCCAAAACTCATCCAAACCTTGCTTCAATTTTCATCCAAATCTGTCCACCAAAACAACTAAATATATGAAAACAAAATCAGTCCAATTTCAAAAGAAAAAGAGAGGGAAGATACATGTATTGTTACATGGTAAAATCATAAAAATACAAAATATAAAGGGACCTTTCCAATGATACTACACTCCAAATTCTGCTACTGCAATATGCCCAAAATCATCCATGCTGCAATGCTGCAAAAAACTGCATAATAATGCCCCAAAACTGTCTTTTGTCTGCTATCCAGTACCACTGCTACAAACTCTGCCGTACAGTCCCAAAACTGTATAAGTTCTGTCCAAAATCAACCTATGTTGCAGCAGTCAAACTAGTTCTGCTATGCTGTCCCAATTTTGCACAAGAATAGAAAACCACCAACCTGCATCAAGAAAGCAAGAAGAAGTGAACAAAAACAATTTCAACCCTTCTATTTCAATGCACAGCATAATCCCTCATCTCATTCATTTCCCCTTCAAAACAGAACAAACACGATTCCGCCTTCCTTCCATCTCCCTCTGTTATGTTCATCTTCCACGAAGTTCTCCACAAACCAGCCATCATCTCCATTACATACTCAACTAACCTTCACTCCAAACACTCCATACCCCCTCATAAACCAGAAATCTTCATCATATTTTTAAACTGTATCAGACCTCTACAATCCACAGTCAACCTTACCAACCTAACCGTGTAACACTCAACCTTACATAATCTCACACCTTTCAACTTACAACCTAACTATTGTTTACCCAACTCATCTCTATAACCTTTCACCAAAACCTTCATCACCTTTTATTCACTCAAATCCACAAGACACTCTCCATCTGTAATGTGCATAAAAACATTCAACAACTCAACAATCGGATTCCAGAATCTATAAGAGTTCAACAAGAAGAAGAGAAAGATAGAAACACACAAAGACACAAAAAACTAACAGTAGCTAACATACTCATATTCACCAACCTTACATCGTCGTCTTCCTCTCTCGCTCATGAACCCAACGATCCGTTCCTCATCATCAACGTTCGCGCACGCCATATCCCACCCACTTCATTCTCTTCTTCCATTTTTTATCATAGCCACAACAAACTTCACTTATCTTCTTTCAGAACCCAAACGCCATGCTTTGCTTTACAAGAAGTAACAGAATCAAAAATTAAAGATGAAAAAACAGAGGAAATGCAGACATTGGACAATGTTAAGAAGAAGTTAGCTGTTTTTAACTTACCTTGGTCAGTGTCCGCGCCAGACATCAAAGAACTTTTCAAGGAATGCGGAACCGTAACCGATGTCGAGATTGTAAAAAGGAAAGATGGGAAGGGAAAAGGTTATGCACTTGTTACTACGGATTCTGGAGAAGGGGCTCAGGCTGCTGTTGAACAGTTTGATGCTCGTGAAATATCAGGCAGGATAATAAGGGCAAAGTTTTCAAAGAGTTTCAAGAAACCTTCTCCTCCACCTCCTCCAGTCACCCCTCCAATTCCCACAAGCCAAACCCCAATTCCCATTGTCCGATTCACCAACTCGCCGCATCACCATCCCCTTCAATTACCGTAAACCATCTCTGTCTGATTCACCATAATAAGCATAACCTCCATCTCCCAATGATCTCCGCAAGCATCGATCTCCCTTCATCTCACCTCACCCGCTCAAACCAAACCCAAGAAAACCGCCCCGACCAAAATTGCTGCTAAAGCCACTGCGAAACCGAAACCGGAGCTGCTGTTACTATTGGCGTTGTAGTTAGTTTAATTGTCCTCAGCCTCCTTGGTATCGCTGTGTGCTTTGTACAGAAAAAGAAAAAGGGAAAAGGATTCAGATCTGATTATGCTGCGCCTTCTCCGTATACCTCATCTCACAATTCAGGTCAATACTTAGCTCTCTCAAAAGTAATTCTCTATCAAAAATCCAAATATTATTCAACCTCCTCCTTCATATGGGCCTTTCCCTTATTCTAGTCATTCCGAATTCTTATCATTACACCCCTTTTTTCGGTTTGATACCCCCATGCTATTTATTTTAGTTTTATTTCCTTATTTAAATTTATTTAAATTAGGTTAGTTAGTTTCTTAGAAAGAAACATGTAGTTTCAATTAGACAAATTTTAATAATTTTAGTTTAGAATTATTTTAGTAATTTTAAGTTCATTTAGGATTATTTTAGTAACTTTAGAATTATTTTTAGTTATTTTAGATTTAACTTAATAACTTTAGAATTTTAATTTAGTTTATATCTTATTTAGTAATTTTAGAATTATTCTTTATAACCTTAGAATTCGTAATTAGTTCAGAATTATTTTAGTAAGTAATCTTAGAATTTTAATTTAGATAATTGGTTCCATTCTCTTTTAAATATCTTTGTCATTTTAATTTTTTGGGGTCTTTCGATTTATTTCCTTGTGAATTTTCGAATGTTCATATTTTGACATCCATTTTATTTTGTTCGTCCGTCTAAACTCCAAGGGAAAGAATTAAATTTGTTGACTTCATGTCACCGAACATATCTCATACGATTGCGCGAACCCCTTCATTCATTTTTTTGCTTGTTTGCTATTTTGCTAAACTTAAGATAATTTTCCCAAGAGACTCAATTTTAAAGCTCACACTTTTTTTAAGCCAAAACCTCGACACTAGGTCGTCGTATCTTCAAAACAAGTCCAAACAAACCACTTTAGCCAAACAAGTCATTTTAATCAAACAAACAACTTTTAATAAAAAACATATATTTCAAAAGGTTCCTGCGGAGTACCGCAGATGCATTGGTTGCTAATACCTTCCCATTGTATAACCAACCCCCGAACTCTCGATCTCTTTTCAAAACGCATTGTATTTTCATTACTTTTAAGTATTATTATACATTGCATATTTTAGGGTTTTATTTCGCTCTTTTCCCTTTTCCCTTGTATATAATAAAGCGCGGTGGCGACTCTTGCTTTTGTGAGTCAAGTTAATTAATAGCTTGATCTCCGATTTTCACCGCTACACCAACCTACACCTTCCTCATTCTTCAATACAGACTTGGGGAGGTGCGAAATAAACCACCTCACCAACAGCGGCATACAACACATGAGGGTCCCTCTTCTACGCATCGTACGGGTATAAAGAGCATGCAGAATATCACCCAAGAGGGTAGGCACAGGATTTTGAGACAAGAAGATCTTAACCGCATTCACATCTATGAAGGAATCTGGATTCGGGAAAAGAACCAAACCATAGATGAGGAGAGCTAAGATGTCTTCAAAATCCTGAAAGTCCAAGTTATCCCAGGATAGTTGAGCTTGATCCATGAGAAACTTAGCCAAGAAACCTTTAACCCCGCTTCGTGTCTCCCAATTAGAAACTACATCAACCTTCTTCAAGTGTAAAGCTGAAGCAATGTATTCTGGCCTAGGAGTCTCTTCTAAACCTGTGAAGGGCATCTGCTCCAGGATGGATATACCCAACAAATGAGAAAACTCTTCCAAAGTAGGAACTAGCTGATAATCCGAGAAAGTGAAACAATGATGCACTGGATCGAAGAACTGGAATAACACACTCATCATTTGCTCATCAAACCGGGAGGTAACCAAACCAAGAAGCTGACCATGTCTTCTAATGAATGAAGAAGTATCAGAAATTCTCGAGGCCAAATCTTTGAGTTGAGCAGGTATTTACACAAAGTTAACTCGGATGGTGTTTCTGCGTATAGAAGTCATGATCTGCAAAACAGAACAAAGATAAATCTCCTCGGTCTTTGAAATGGTTAGTCTAATGAAATATGCACGCTATGTTATGATGCATGATGTCATGATAAAACACACAACAGGTATAGTAGATATCAAACATGGTAAAGGCAAACAAGTCACACAATAGCCCTTAAGTTTCAGGCTTGCATGGAGTCTAGGTACTACCCTCTTGAAGTTCAGTTGGTTTCAACCTGTCCTAATAATAGTAATCGGGTTCTAGAGGTTCTCAATATCACTGACCATCCTCCATCGGTCATGGTTTCAGCTCACGTAATATTTTCTTGCGGCCGGAACTATCTCGAGAGTATGGTCTCAATGAGTGTAGCATCGAGTATCAACCAGTTCTCAGCTCTATACTGAGGTCGGCTATCTCGCTACTTTCTAATGGCCAAGTTGGAAGATTATAGGTTCTAAGGTCAGTTGATGCTTAACAACCCATATAGCAGCTCCGTATTCTCCTTGTTTCTCCACAAGGGATATCGGTACCAACCAATGTGCCACATCAACGTAGCTACTGCTTCAACCGTATCGGACTACGTCGTACAGTTCTCTCACAGTTTATTGCTGCTTACCTAAAAGGTGTCCCCCGGATCCGGGTTAGGATCTATAGTAACTCCAATACAAAGCCCACAAAGATAAAGCAATCAAATAAAACAATAGAAGTAATATGATGAACTAATCCTAAGGTATACCCCACTTATTTATTTCCCTAGCAGAGTCGCCAGTTCTGTGATACGGTGTCCAGAACCGGACTGTTTTAGGAATGCTGGTTTGCGTTTTGCGTTTGTTTTTGCAAAATGTCGCGGTAAGCAAGAGTTGCCACCGACTTTTATTTTATCCAACTGGAAAGGAAAAAGCATAGAAAAATTCCTTTTTTCGAGATTTTGAGTACGGGGGGTAGATTATAGAAAGGGAAGGTATTAGCACCCTTTTTATCCGTAGTTTTCTACGGGCTCTTAGGTACTTGCTCATCATTTTCAAAATTTGCTTGTATGTGTTTGATTTGAAAAAGTTTTTGTTTTACTTCGATTTAACCCTTGCTTCTGTCTTTAAGAGTGTTACGAAGTCATTTTGAAAACTTTGTTTGAAAGAGAGTGTAAGTGTGAAAAAGTTTGTTTGTTTGTTTGAGCAAGTACTTAAGAACTAATCTACCTACTCAAAAAAGAGAATGTTTCTATTCTTGTTTCCTTTAGACAATGCTATCCTACTATTAGTGAGTAGGTAGCACCATCGTCAGAGTTTTAAGGGTCAATTCGAAAAGGACGTACGATCACCAAAGCAATGTTAGGACGTCTTAGTAGTAACCCTAATGTCTTAGATCAATTATTCGAGGCAACAATTCTGAGGCAACCATTCCGAGGCAACTTTTCCGAACGGGACTTTGATCTTTGTTTAGACAAGAGAGCGACCACTAAAATACCATATACTTAATGATCGTTTACCGAAGGCAGTCGAAGAGGGAGTGTACCCTAGGAGTGCGCATGTGCGAGTGATTCAATTTCAGATTATTATCATTGCATATTTAGGGTTTGCTAACCGTTTTAAAGTTAATCATACATTCTTGTCATGCAACCCTAATATCATACATCTAACAGTTTAATATTTTGCGAAAATTAAAGTGCGGGAAATAAAGCTACGCTATTACAAGGCTTCGGGTATTTACATAGCCAAAAACAAATTCGTCAAAACGATAAATGAAAAGGAGAAAAACCCTAATTAATCTATTACAACTTATGAGCAATTACATCAATATTGTAAAATAAAATAATAAAGCGCGCGCGATGAAATTAAGAATGATAGGAAATTAGGGTTTTGACCCCGTCTAACCTAATTGAAAGAAAAATTATTTTTTGATTGTTTTTTATTTTTTTAGAGAAAAAGAATTAGGTTTTTAAAATACAAATCTAATTAATAATTAAATTAAATTAATGAAAATGATTTACATGACCTATTTTTTGTATTTTATTATTTTAAGAAAAAGAAAATGGAAATTAAATTAAAACCAAAACCCTAATTTTCTAATTGTTTTTAATTTATTTACAAAATAATTAAAATTACCCTAAAATTAAGTAAAATAATTTAATTAATTTTTTTGATAGAAAAAATAAACCTAAATCTAATTGGATGAAAATTTGTTTTTTTATGATTTTTTAATAAAAAAGGAATTGATTTTATGTTAGTAAAAATAATTCAAACAATTAATAAAGACAAAATATAAAAAAGAAAAAAGAAGAATTGGGCCTGAGAAGTCAGCGAAATGGGGGGTGCGAATAGCAAGCCCTGGGCCCAAAAGAGGTTGATCCACGTTGACTTGTCATGATTCAATGTTATGCACTGACTGGGCTGTATCATGGTCACCACATGATGGCCATCAGATCTGGCTCCTTGGACACCTAGTTGGTTGGATTCTGAGGGCGCATGGTGGTCCTCATGCTTTATGGGACGTGGAATCTGTAGGGGAAATTCAAGAAAAATGCAAATGTTGGAGGCAGGGGTCGAACCCCTGACCTCATGCCCTCCAATGCCTTAACGCTTCCCTGGCCACCACTGGGCCATTTGGTTCAGTTGATTATTATATGAAACAAAATGAATAAAATGACACTAGCTGTAAAACACACGCCATAATTCAAATGAACGAATGAGATGGAGCCACGTATGTCATCTTCTTCCTCTCCCCGTTGGTAAAAGTCAAAGACTTTAACCTACGGACTTATGTCCGTAGCTACAACCCTGGCTTGTTTCAAAATCTTCCATGGGCATGATAAATGAAACCTAATGCCATGAATCAACTCGTTTGGACCTGCTGAGCATTATGATGCCCTTTTTGTGGGCC